AGCGAGTACGACTACGTGAGCTTCCAGTCGGACGTGGGCGCCTACCCCAGCGGGCGCTTCTACACCAAGCCGCCGCAGTGCGTGGACATCCCGGCGGACCTGCGGCTGTGCCACAACGTGGGCTACAAGCGGATGGTGCTGCCCAACCTGCTGGAGCACGAGAGCATGGCCGAGGTGAAGCAGCAGGCCAGCAGCTGGGTGCCGCTGCTCAATAAGAACTGCCACATGGGCACGCAGGTCTTCCTGTGCGCGCTCTTTGCGCCCGTGTGCCTGGACCGGCCCATCTACCCGTGCCGCTGGCTCTGCGAGGCCGTGCGCGACTCCTGCGAGCCAGTCATGCAGTTCTTCGGCTTCTACTGGCCCGAGATGCTCAAGTGCGACAAGTTCCCCGAGGGCGACGTCTGCATCGCCATGACCCCGCCCAACGCCACCGAAGCCTCCAAGCCGCAAGGTAAGGCCGCCCTTTGCCCCCAGTCCTCCCGCCCGTACCTCGGGCCCGGGTCGGGACGTGCGCGACGGCGGCCCTCACGCAGTCCACGACGTCTGCGGTGTCGCCCCGCGCTCTCGCGACGCGGGTGCGCGGCTCTGCGTCTCGGCCCGCGGGGGCTCGGCGGGTCCCCGGCTGGCCCTTCTGGGACTCAGCCTCACTTTTCCCACACCTGAAACAAAGCTTCGCGCTTTCAGTAAAACGGAGGGCGCTTCCCTCTCTGGGCGGGCCCCGAGCCGCATCGACGTTCTACCCTCTGAGACGGGATGCTCCGGGGGAAACACCAACACCCGGCGTCGCAAGCGCAGACCGCCCGAGACGCTCGGCGCAGTTCTGCTTCTGTGCGTAGGTTCAATGCAGATTTAAAAAATAAAACCCCAAACTTCTTGGCTTGGCTAGTCATTGAACCAAGTAGCCCCAGGACTCCTGCAGACCTGGCTGAGAAGACGGGTTTAGAAACTGGGGATTTTTGCTTCTTCAACCTTTCCGGGTCTCAGTTCTGCGCTCGGGAAGGACCGGGGTGGGAAGTCCTTCTCACTCCCCAGACACCCCCTGCTCCTCTCATTCTCACAAATCCTTGGGTAATTAGAAAGATAAAAATGCAATTAGCGCGGCACTGTTCATCTCCTCCTGGGGAGTGCGAACTGTAAGTTGGAGATTTTCCTAGCAGCAGGACCACCGAGGTTCCTCTCAGAATCCTCTTCGATTTAAAAGGCAGTTTTGAGGGGGAAGAAGAACAATCTCAGGGAGGCAAAAACAAAAACTGAAAAGCCTCAGCCCAGGGACCTGACCCGGAATCCTCTGCAGAGTTCCGGCGCAGATACTCTGAGATGATCTGGATTACACCTAGCACGGGCAGGCTTCTCAGGGTTTTTGGAGAGGGGCTGGGGAAGGAGGAAGGACTGCGCGCATGCTTGGCTCTTCTGGAAGTGCCCAGCTTCTTCACCTCTGGTATTAGTACTAAATGAAGGGTGTGCAGTCAGCCGGCTCCCCCAGAGTGAGGATGGGGGTAGCTCGAGGAAGGAACACCCCACATTGTGGATGCTCTTGCTGTTATGAGGAGGAAGGAGATGAGTCCACAGCCACCGACCTGGAAGGAATGGACCCGCCAGTGGACAAGGCTCTGTCTGCGCATGGTGACAAGCTGTGGGCACCTCTGCTCTCAGGGCTAGCCCTTGGGAAGTGTGGCTGTGAGAGACAGAGCTTAGTAGTCAGTCACCAGAGCAAACAAAGCACGTTGTGTTCTGTGGGTGTGCAGCCGTCCCTACAACCGTTGGGTTTTCCTTCTCCCTTTCCTCGCTGGCTGCAGGATTAGTCCATCCTTGCCCTGGGTGCTGTGCCCAGCTCTGCTGGGGCAGAGCCTGAGTGCCTTCCCAGTGTCCACTGAGCATCTCTTTCTGGACCATCTGCAGACATGAGCAGAGACCTTTGGGGAATCTGCTTCGGTACGTGTCTGCAGCCCCTGGGGAAGATGAGGGGACTGGATAGGGTACCTGCTTGCGAGGGGAAAGAATCTCCCACCTGCCCTCTAGAAGGCTGCCGTAGGGCAGGGAGAACGCCATAATTGCTGTTTTTTGAACACGCTTTGCCCCGTGGCTGCCTTCATCCTAGGAGTGCTCAGGTAGTCGCCCTCAGGGTCAGGTCTTTGTTGACCAAAGGGAAGAGTAGTGAGGGAACCCATCAGGAGTGGGACTTGGAACTGGTTCTCTCTTTGGTGATTTTGGTGAGGGGATCTGACCTGTGAGGGCACAGGATCCTCCCCAGGACTGCAGCCCTGGGGCCAGGAAGTCCCATTTGACTTCCTCCAAGGCTACCTGGCCACTGACTGTCAGCTGAGTGTGGAGTTGGTATGCAAGTGTATGTGTTTATGTGTAAGCATTTGCATGTGTGCTTGTGCATAGGTGTGCATGTGTGTGAGTGTGTTGTGTACATGCGTGTGTGTGCATATGTGTGTGTGTGTGTGTGTGTGTGTGTGTGTGTGTGTGTGTGTGTGTGTGTAGGGTCTAAAGTAAAAAAAATACTACGGGATTCAATGGAAATACTCTTTTAAATATATAAATTGTCTTAAAGAATAAAGGAGACGTGATTTTATATTTGCTTCAAATATATAAGGGAATCTTTTCTCTAAGGATTTCCCATCTGTAACATTGAATCAAAATTAACAAGCACAAAATACAGATTGCACCAAGAAAATATACTCAAATTTTGAGAATGGAGCCGGGCTCAGTCTGTAAACCCATGCCTTTGGGAGGCTGAGGTGAGTGGATTGTCTGAGCCCACGAGTTCGAGACAAGCCTGAGCACCAAGCCCTCATCTCTACAATAAATCAAAAAATCAGCCGGGCGTGGTAGCACGTGCCTGTAGTTCCAGCTACTTGGAAGGCTGAGGCTGAAGGATCGCCGGAGCCCAGCAGGTCAAGTCTGCAAATGCCGGTATCAGTCACTGCACTCCAGTCTGAGTGACAGAGTGAGACTC